ACTACGAAACCCATATTCTTTCTGAGGTGTTTGAGAAGAAGAGGTTATCATTCAAAAATTCTTTTAGATAAATAATTTTCCTTCTGGAAACTTCAGGCCCCCAAATTTTGGCAGAATAATTCTTTAAGGGAAAGTCTGAGTTCCATAACTGACTAGAACAAATGACTGCTAAAGCATGGCTTAAAAATTGTAGTTTATAAAGAGATGGACTCTTGAAACATTTTTTTCTCAGCTCTTCTCTATGCTGCATCTGTTGCCATGGGTTAAACATGGAAGAAAGCAAGGTCACAGTGTCTACTTACTAAGGTAACCCACTAGTGTCAAACTATCACAGCCTCAAAGATTTTGAATATTTTCTGACTTTATTCAAAAAAACTTTTTTAATGAAGCTCTCAAAAATTGCTAACCAAAGAGTATAGAATGTTTCAAATCCAATTGCTCACTTTAGGAGCTGGTTACTTAAACTCTTCACAGAGCCTCAGTTTCTCCATTGAGATACTGAAAAACTATATACCTCCTAGGATTTGTGTGTGTGTGAAGATTAAATGAGATAACATATGCAAAAACCCAAGTCTGAGAATTGGCATATAACAAGAGTCCAGTATGTAATAGATGTTATTTTTACTATCTGTGTTCAATATTTAAGGCTTTACTGTTGTAATGATCTGTTTATATGAACTGATATTTACTGGTTTTCATAGAGTTTTCAAGGAGAGATCGCCTTATAATGAACTTGAATAGAATCTAAATTGCTGTTGTAATTAATAGTTGTTGTAATTAATACCTATTTACTACTAGAAGACACTTGGCTCATCCACTGTAAGATGAAAGTGAACGGCCCCCATGTGTCTCCGTTATTAATCAGCAAAGGTTCCAAGTGGAATTTAATGAGTGTCTTTAATCTCTCCTCACTTAAGAAGCAGGAGTTTGGGAGTGAAGCCCCTCCAGGAATAAGTGAAGTTAGAGAACTCGTACTGTATTTCTTTCTTTTTTTTTTAAG